AATATTAATATGATAGTGAATTTAATTAATTTGTAATTAAATCTAAAGTAATTTTCCTAACTTGACGTCAATAAAAATATTACAATACATATTTAAATGACCTCATAAATTTTCTTTTTCTCTCTCATGTATTCTCTTTCGTAGATATAATCAATTTATTTTTTAAAAGAAAATAAGAGCTTTGTTTCGTAAAATACTCCTAAAATAATGTTCACTTTTCTTAGCAAATAACCCTCATCCATTTTTTTAATTAACATTTCCTATGTATATTATTATTTCCTTACCAAATATATCTTTACTCCTAGATAAAAATAAATCTTAATTGTCACGATCTTTTTCTCTAATAACTCGTTCTTTGCGTTTTTCCTATATTTGATTTTACGTAATACACCATTTTAATTATAAACGTCAAACTGATTGTTTAATTACTCATTTTGTGCTTTGTGTAACTATTCAACAATAAAATTATCACGCCGTAAGTTATCGTTGATAGCTATGAAAAACCATCATTTATTCTTTTTATAACGTTTGTTCTCAATACCTTTTTGTTGTTCATATGTTTCATCATTCAATGTTTTTAATATGAATACTTTAAGATATAATTTTTTTTATTAAGTGATGTTATTGATTGACCCCAATAGAAAGGATTTAAGGATCCATCATTGTAAGAGATTATCAAGAATTACCTTTAGTGTTAATTTACTCATATTAAAGTGAAATTATAGATTAATGTTATTAAATTTGAACCAGGCTGGTCGGTTTGATAAGAAATTCAATAACCCCAACACTTAGCTGGTTCGAGTTGATATTAAAAATTAAATATAGAAAAAACTAGTAGGTTTCTTATGCTATGTTACGGATAGAATTCAACATATTTATTTTACTTTAATAATACGTACTATGTTATCAATCAATTATAATATATTAAATTAAAGATAAAAGATAAAATTTTATTTAATTTTATAACTTTTAATCAAAATTTTATATCTATTTTTTATGTTTTTAATAAATTTTGTAGTAAAAAACAAATATGATTTATTTTTTCTTATTTATTTATTCTTAAATAAAAAGCTGTAATAATCTAAATATAAAATTTAAGAAATGTCTTAATATTTTTTTATAACATTGCATCGAAAAAATAAAAAAAAATTAATATAAAATCTAATATAAAAATTAACGAGATAATTCTTTTTTATTCTTATTTAATACTAATGAGAAAAATATTTTTTTTAAACTATGTACATTCAATTTATATATATTTATTTATAAAATAATGAATAATATTAGTATAAAAATTGTATTTGAATTATTAGGCAGTTCTTCTCAAACATTATTTCAATTATTTTTAAAATATTAAAAAATAATAACAAATGATTAGTGTTATGAGTGTAAATACATAGTTAATTTTTAACAAAACTAATAACTCTAATATTGTTTTATATACCATGATCACATTCATTAGACTCGTGTGTATAGCATAAATCAATAATATTTTTTTTAAATAAATTATAAAAATATATTGAAATGAATATAGTGCAATAAAAAAATTTACAAAGATTGATTTCAATAAAATTTGATTATATAAAGAATAAGCAAATAAAAATAATTACAAAAAAATGTCCAAAAATTCATACATAAAGAAAATAAATCATATTTATTAAAAAATAAAATTACAGAAAAAAGAATAAAAAATTAATTTGATGATAATTTTTATAAGAAACGAAAAATTGAAGAAATCAATATTAAACAATAAATGTAATATAATCTAATATATATGTTCATTCTAAAATCTAAAAACCTATCATATATATTCTACAATTGTCAACTTGCGCAAAAAAAAAAAATAACGATAGGTTTTTCATAATTTTTACACTCAATTCAATAATAATAAAAAAAATATAAATTGGTGGAAAAAACAAAGAAAAAACCAAAGAAAAAAGAAGAAGAAGCAAGCTTACGTGCCGAGTGTGCAGCAGCCTAGGGGAGTAAAAATTTTATTTTAAACCTTCAGGGACTAAAATGAAACATGATCTAAAACTTGAATATAGATGTCCAAAATAGTTTAAAAATCATAAAAACTCCACCCTTAACTATAGGACATCCACAATGATCTGTGAGAGAATGAATAGTAAAAAATCATTGTTTATTTTTCCTATCTCTTTTAGATGTTTTGCTAATTAGATCAAACCTCAAAAACTGGATTGGTTGGTTCAATAAATCAAACATTTACCTGGTTTTTTTGTTAAAAAAAAAAAAAACAAAGAGAATAAATTGTAGCACGTGGGGCTTGAACTTAGTACTACTTCACGATTTTTTGTTCATATATAACCAAATATACATATATTATGCTTCTTCCAAAGATATCGTCTTTTTGACCTTTTACCTATTTAAAAAAATTATTAATGGTTATGTCATATCATTTTTTGTTGATATTTTTCTAAAATATCTTTTTTGTTAAAATTATTAATTATCAATTTTAATCTTGCATCACATAAAATCCATATTAATTTTTTAAAAAAATCTATCTAACATTAAAGTGATAAATTAAAATAAAAATCATTCAGTTAATTAACAATTAAGTTTAAAATAATTATGAAAAAAATAATATACTAATAGGAATATTTTACTTTCAAACTTTAGACGTCTAGTAAAATTCCTACAAGAGTGAATATTTTTCTTGTAACAAAAAATTTCTCTTTAAAAGTTTTATGTTAAATGTGTTTGTATGTATAAAAAGAAAATATATAAAAAAAAACATTGATTTTTTGTTAGTGAAAAATAAGAAATGAAAAAAAGAATTGATTTACTTTATCAATTAAAAATATTTTAAGAAAATGCATTATTTAAAAAGGTTTACCCCACATTTGGTCTCTATACTATTCTAATTTTTTTTATTGAGATTTTCTATAATTTTTTAGCTTGATTGAAATCCTCTATTTTATTGATTCGGATACTTCATTAACTATTTATCATAGATAGCATGTTAAAATTAACGATAACTAATCATGAATGAACATGTGGCATGATGAATCATAAATACACAATATTCCGTAAAAAAAAACTAAAATTTTAAAGATTTTTATTATTAAACTATCAATTGGTATATAAAAATAAACGAGATGAATTAGTATATAAAAATAAATGAGAAAAGACGACAATGCCCCCTTTCATTGTCAACACCCAAATCAATTTTAATCAATAAAACACCGATCTTCGGAAAATTTTATAATACACAAGGAGTAACTAGTGACATGTACAATAGTTACTCCTTGTATCCACTTTGAAGAGAGAGATAGACACATATAAAAAAGAGAAATTACATCTATACCCACTAAAAGTGATAAGAAGATTTCCACGTCCGCTCAAATTTTTTATTTTCTCTCTCCTATTTTTTTCTCTCTTTTTGTGTGTCTATCTCTCTCATCAAAGTGGGCCCAAGGAGTAACCACTGTACATGCCACTAGTTACTCCTTGTGTATTATAAAATTTCTCGAATTGAGAAATTTTATAATACACCGAAATAACTAGTGGCATGTATAATAGTTACTTCATGGGTCCATTTTGAGGAGAAAGATAGACACAAAAAAAGAGTGAAATTACTTTTATACCCATAAAAAATGATAATAAGATTTCTACGACTCAAATCTTTTTATCTTTCTCTCTTTTTTTGTGTCTATATCTCTTCTCAAAGTGAGTTCATAGAGTAATTATAATTTCTCGGTTTGAATAAATAAATTTACAAAAATAAAGGAAAAATTTTATAATACAACAAGAAAGTAACTAGTGGCATGTACAGTATTATAAAATTTCTCAAGAGTAAAGAATATTAATCAAATTGTAAAATGTTTCAATAAAAAAAATTAAAAATATATAAGAACCAAATATGGCGTAAATCCTTATTTAAAATATTGATCTGAAAATTTTTTTCAAACATATATAAATAAATGGAATCATTTTTTCTTTTTGCATGAAAAGAGAAATATAAAATACCAAACCATCCATAAAGTGAATGACTCATTGAACTAGTAATCTGATGAACTAATAATTATTTCACTTTTACGTAATCAAATAACAATAAATATATGATGATTACCTAGTAATTTCATTTTATATCGGGAACCCCAACCAAATTACATAGCAACCCAAAATTCTTTTAAGTGGCAGAAAGGCTCGTACGTGGAAGGGTTTGGAGCCTTAAGCTGGTCAACTTGCACTGCTTTCTTAACAACGCCCCACTTGGGCAATACCTACTTATATTGCCTGGGATTACATTCAACAATCTTAAGATTTTAGTCAGATATGGGCAATCCTCCTCGCTCCTAAAAAAGAAAAAAATTGTCAGAGGCAGAAGAACTCCAATAACCAAGTCAAACTCACCCTCTCATAGCCTTCACCACATTGATTTCCTCCCCATCCACAATTTATTCACCATCGTCTCTCTCTCTCTCTCTCTCGTTCTCTCTCCCTCCTCCACAAAATCAAGATCCCCAAATGAACCGTAACTTCTTGTTAACACCCTTTCATCCAATAATAAATCTCTTTATTGTCACTTTCTTTCTCCTTGCAAAGAAAGCCTCATGTACAGACCCTTATTTCCTAGCTTGCAACCCCAAAACATGTGGAGATGGCCAAAACATAAGCTTCCCATTTTATATCCAAAACGAGCAAGAACCGTTTTGTGGCTACCCTGGATTCAATATCTCTTGCAACAAAGGCAAGCCAGTCGTTAAACTGTCCAGTAATGAGTATATCGTCCACAAAATCTTCTACCAAAACCAGTCTCTTCGTGTCTCAAATGCAGCGGTTTTTGGCAAAGGCATGTCTTGTATTCCTCCAATACAAAACATGTCTCTAGCTGATGGCAGGTTCCAACTCTCTTCTAAGGACACATCCCTCTTCTTGCTCTATCATTGCAACTCATCACTGCTAGTGAATGATACCAAGCTCTTAAAATACAAGGTTGATTGTGTTGGGGGGATGAAACAGTTTCAACTCTAGCAATGCTTGATCATGATCCTCTACTGGGTTCTGCATTAGAGAAGTGTGAAACTGGAGTTGTGGCACCAGTGGAGTCGTATAGAGGTGAGAATGTTGGGATTGAACGGGTGCTAGAAAGAGGGTTTTTGTTGAATTGGACAGCAAGTAATTGCAGCACATGTGAAAAAAGTGGTGGCAAGTGTGGATTTAATTTCTCTACATACCATTTCAAATGTTTCTGCCCTGACCGACCTCATGCTCGGCATTGTAATTCCGGTGAGTCATTTTAATTTTTCGTTCTTTTTTGTCCTGAAATTTTGTTCATCTTTCTTGAAAGTGATGGCTATTTTATGGTATAGGCCCATTGCCCACTTGCGTCCTTCGGCTAAGTGCTAGTTGTGTGTCATGCTGGTCTCGTTATGTCCACAAACCATGGTCAAAAAAACTCTCCTCTTTCCACTGTCTAGATGAGGTTCATCTTGCTAGCTAGGATAGGAAATTCTTTGATGAACAGTGGCAGATACCATTATACCAATACCAAACACACAACAAGAACAAACAGTAGATGGTCTAGGCAAAAAGGGACCCGTCTTAAGGTGTCAGACTGGTGGAGTTAATCAAATTCTCTAGCAGTATCTAGTCATTAGGATGATGATGAATCTAATTCTCCAAAATTAAGAAGAATAGCTATGACTTTTGAACGATTTAAAGGTTTATGCAGTCTCCTCTTGATTTTTGTCTTATATCGGTTTGGCAATAATATTTTTCCGTAGCGGGATCCTTGTACTCTATCTATCACCCTTAGCCATGGTGTCCAATTCATTCTGTGCAGGTGTTTTTTTTTAGAGATTAAAATAGCCAATTCAGTATAAAGCTAATTGAAAACAATAAAGTACCAAAACAAAATCATTGGTTTAGTGCCAAATGATATATGTTTTATTTTTTCAAACAATATGCATTTTAATTATTCAGCTCCTCCATTTCTAAAGAAAAAAGAAATTTCAAATCCAAATTAATTGAATTAGAGAAGCACATGTCTCTTATTGATTTTTTTTTTTAATTCCATTTTCGACAATCAAATAGCAAATTACTTTCATGTAGAATTAAGTGTATTCTCAAATTCTTTTATTTAATTCCATTTTCGACAATCAAATAGTAAATTACTTTCATGTAGAGTTAAGTACATTCTGAAATTCATGCCGAAAGAGAAGGGGAGTGTTGGTTTTTGGGTTTATTTGTATGATTTTAACATCAAACGACTATTTTAATCTAAAACAAAATGGATTTAAAAACAATTTTATCGAGGAAAAAAGAGAGGATTTAATAACAAATTTGACATTGCTAGTGAGAATGTTGGATGGGAGAGCTCCATCAACATTAACAAAAGTCAAAATATCAAGTATAAGGACTGCTTTAGGAAAACGTATCATACAGGAACCAGTTTAAGAAAAATTAAGAGTAGGAGGACCAAAACCACCTTTAACCCAATTTTTCTTTATCTAGCTTGCTGTGCTGTCTGCGTAACGCGCACATGTGGGACCTCGAATTCAAAAATAGAACAGTTGTCACAATCCATAGTATTTTTCTTAGATTAATGGTCAAATTAAACAAAGGTACCAAAAATTAAAAATCAATCTGAACGTGTTTCGATGCTTAGCTGCTTTTTCTAGCTTCCTAATTAAGAAGCCATCGAGTCAGAGTAATGGGTTTTCTTACGAGTGGTACAACTTTTTTGACTCGACTCTCTAGTCCTACGTACGTAATTATTTTTATTTTTAATGAATTTCTATTAAAAAATTACAAATATCAGTTCTCAGTTTAGATCTTATTCAACACGGTGCATGGGAAATCCAGGATGAGTACGGCGAAAAAAAAATACTATTATGAATTATCAACTAATTATTGATCATGAATTAGAGTAAATTATTACGTAGTCTTTGTGTTTGAACTTATTTTAATTTTAGTCTCTTATGTTAGATAACCTATATATAACTTAGTTCATTGACTCTTGTTCACCGTTGTCTAGTTAAAACCTTAGTATTTTGTTTTATTTTTTCTAAATCTCGAATTTAACTTGTTGGAGAAAAAACAGCGTAGTAGGGTTTAGAGAAACATCAAGACGTTTTAGTTCATGCAATGGTTAACAAGAGTCAAGGGACACGGTTATAGGTTTTTAAAACATGAAGTATTAAGTTATAATCATGTTTGAAATCCAAAGACTAAAGAATAATTTACTCCGTGAATGATTTACCTTACCATTGAATGGAAATAATAGCTCCATTGACTAGATTATCCTTGTAATTGTGAATCCTACAAATCAAAACCAGAACCGGAAGTTAGTGCTTAGTGGTAAAAATAGAAGTTTAGAAGAAGAATTGAAAAGATGAAAGGATGAAGTCTTTAAGTATATAATTGTGTGTTGTAAAATGTCCTCAAGTTGCAACAATTTCTCCCAACCAGAACGTAGAACTTGACCACAATTAGTTAAAATATTGGGGTCTAAGTCTATTGTGTAAAGTACAGATCTGGAGGAGATTTCTTGATCAAAAGAATATATATATATATACAAGGAGACCGACTCTTGACCACCTAAAGACAGATAGAATTAATTAATGCTTAAGCCAACCAAGTGATGAAACATCCGGAGAATTAAAATAAGTAGTACACTTTGATCATAACGTTTCCGGCCAAGAGTCTGAAGATGATGTATTTCCTTCACGTTCCTTTACATCTCCAAGACTCCGGTTCTTTTAGTTCCGCATCTTAATAACCATATCTACCATATGGGTCCACATAACTTGTTCAGTTTCACCGTATTATTGCCTATTGGGATCAGTTTTGTAATCGGCATCTTCTTTGTAGAGTCAGTTCTATCAGCAGAATCAAAATATGAAGCCTGCAAACCTGCAAACTGCAGTAGCGGTCTTGAAATAAGCTATCCCTTTTATATCCGTGGTAATGGAACTGAGTTCTGTGGTCATCCTGGCTTTGGAATTCTTTGCCAGGAAGGTAGGCCTATCTATAAGACCTCTGGAGCTAGCTACATCATTCAGGACATCACTTATGAAAACCATTCCTTTCGATTGGTTAATCTTGACGTTATCAACACCACTTGCCCCATTCCTAGCTTGAATTACTCTTTTGATCGCTCTTCTGTTGATTTTATTCCCCACCATGCTGATATTTACTTCTTTTACAACTGCACTAAGTCATTTACTGTTAACTACACGATGTCCCGGGTTACTTGTGGTGCCACTGCCATAAACAAAACCTATGCTGCATTAGTCCCTAGGGATGAGGACTTGAATTGGGACAAAAGTGTCTGTGAGTCTGTAGTTGCTGCGCCTATTCAATTGGAGCCTGAGGAGGCTAATCAAACAATCAGAGATGTTGACTACAAGAGGTTGTTGAAGGACGGATTTACATTGAAGTGGATTGGGCTAGGAAAATACTGTCCTCATTGCCAAAGAAGTGGCGGGCGATGTGGGTTTGAAGATGATACCAGTGTATGTTTCTGTGATGATGGATCCCACCCCAAACACTGCTATGATGGTATGGCTTGCTTCCATGTTTTTAGTTGTCTCCTGCCAAACTCTCCCTAGATTAGTTATGATCTCACTCTCAGGATCTCTTAATTTTAGGTCTACATAGCTACATGTTTTCCCCCTTTTAAAAGATTTTTACTTAATTTAGTGGGATTACCAAGTCTAAGCTACATATGGTCATAGGTCGAGAACACAGGTTACAAAGTGGTCGATCTCTTGTTAGAATACGTGATAAAGATCTTCTCCCCGGCCCTTCACAAATATGACATCGCAAATTGTAGGTAGTCGATATCATATTGTAAGACTATTTCTCTAGTTAGAGTGGCAGATGCTACCCTCAGTACTCCAGGCACCACTAGCCCATGTCATAATTTGAGTTATCCCAGAAGGTAATAATTAATATTAAACCTATGTTAGTCAGCTTAGTATTCTGTTTCCAGTGTGCAATCCCATGGTTTTCCAGCCTTCGGTGCAGGTACTAGACAGGGTTAAAATGGTGATCCTAGGGATGAACAAAATGGTGATTCAATAGAGGCAATGAGTTGTAAGTTAGTACAATCGCCAAAACTGTCCTGTTGTTAATGGGTAAAGAACTAGGTATACATTGTAAGTTACATCATTGGAGAGGTAAAGAGGCCTAGCTGTTACTAAGAGTAGCTAATCCTTGTTTGTCTCACTGTTGTTTTTATTTCCTTAATTGAAAATTTCAGTATGGTGCACGCTTGTCTGTTAGTATTCTTTATTCTTTGTCGCCTCAAACTTCCTCTCTCTGCCGAAGAAGAAACTAGATACCATCCAAATTGCCAGCCCTCTCATTGTGGGAAACTCGGCAAAACCCACTTCCCTGTTCACCAACGCCTCACGTCCTCCGCCCTGTGGTTTTCTTATGGTTGATGGTTGCGATCAAGATATGTAGAAGATCCAATTAGAGAGGGAAGGAAGGGGGCATGAAGTTCTAAATTTCTCAAGTCGGCGTGGACAGAGTAGTACCATTTCAGTGCACGATAAAGTGCCACGGAAGCAGTTATTTTCTCATGATTGCAAAACCTAGAACGATTTGACTTTTCCTAGGCTTCCTTTTCTCTCTTTGCACATTATATCAAATCTAACCTTGCTCAAATGCAACAACCCTGAAAGAGGTACCAACCAATTAGATTCAATTGATGTACCCTGCAATAACTTCACGCTTAAAGTGACATATTCATAATGCTGACTGCCAACTTCATGCTTAAAGTGAAAATATCCGTCTAGAGTTAGCTTTAGCTTTAGATCCCTTAATTAAACATGCCCATCAGATAAGAACTCAGTCTGCAGCAGTGAATCTACGTTGGAAAAAAGTTCCAGGGTTTGAACCTTTTTATGTGTGTATTCCTTAATTTCTGAGGTTGATTGTCTCTGAATCACTTTACTTTATTGTTCAAGCTTATATAACACCATATCTCTTTGAAAATTCTTTTGCAGAAAATGACAAGCTGGGATTGAAGCTAGGATTAGGTAATTCAATATCCAAAATTTCTCTGCTTTATATGTTTCTTAGCAACCTCCATATTTCCTAGCATTTTTTTTTTATATATTTTCCTAGCATATATGGATCCCTCCAAGTTTATCTGTCATCCAAAGTAAACCTCTCTCTATTGTCAGGTTTAGGCATTGGATGTCCATTCGTAGGGTTAATTTTGTTGTCCTACATTTACCGGCACCGCTTCAAGAAAAGACGTGATTCCTCGAACTTGCTGTCAATGAATTCCTCATCAGATCCCTCCTCAAAAGCAGACCTAGAAGGGGACGGTGGTTACTTCGGCATCCCCATCTTCTCTTATACTGAACTTGAACAAGCCACCAACAATTTTGACTGTGAAAAAGAACTTGGAGATGGAGGTTTTGGAACTGTATATTATGGTAAGAAGGTCAAGGTTTCTGTTGATAGATCAACTATAATAACCATAGAAAAATGGCTGGAAAAAGGAAAAGGAAAGTTATTGTGAAACCCAAGCAATTTGATCAATGGCTTTACTTTGATTTCTTTTGAACTAGGTAAGCTCAAAGACGGACGGGAAGTTGCAGTTAAGCGCCTATATGAACACAACTATAAAAGGGTCCAGCAGTTCATGAATGAAATTGAAATCCTTACCCGCCTGCGCCACAAACACCTTGTGTGCCTTTATGGATGCACTTCGCGCCGTAGCCGTGAGCTCCTACTAGTCTATGAATTCATTCCCAATGGAACTGTTGCTGATCATCTGCATGGAGATCAAGCTATGTCCAGTCCACTGACATGGCCTATTCGAATGAGCATAGCAATTGAAACAGCTAGTGCTCTGGCTTACCTTCATGCTTCTGACATCATACATCGTGACGTGAAGACAAATAACATCCTCCTTGACCGCAATTTCTGTGTGAAAGTTGCTGATTTTGGGCTTTCCAGGTTGTTTCCCAACGATGCTACTCACGTCTCGACTGTTCCACAAGGGACTCCAGGCTATGTTGACCCTGAGTATCACCAAAGTTACCAGCTTACAGATAAGAGTGATGTCTATAGCTTTGGAGTTGTCCTAATTGAGCTCATATCATCAATGGCTGCTGTTGATATAAGTAGGCACCGGCATGAGATTAATCTTTCTAACTTAGCAATAAGTAAGATTCAGAAACGTGCATTTGACGAGTTGATCGATTCATGCCTTGGGTATAATTCAGATGAGGAAGTCAAAAGAATGACAACTTCAGTTGCAGAGTTGGCTTTTCAATGTTTGCAGCAAGACAAGGAAATGAGACCTTCCATGGAAAATGTTCTGCAGGAGTTAAAAATAATTCAAGGTGGGGAGTCCATGGAGAATCCTGAGGAAGTGCATGATGATGACAAGAGGTCAAAGAACACACTGCCACCACCTTCACCACCCTGTTGCGATGAGGCTGGTCTATTGGAGAACATCCGCCTGCCACCTTCACCAGTTTCAGTTACAGCTAAATGGGTAAGTAGTTGTTCTACTACACCTAATGGAAGTGGTTAAGGTTTCTTCCTCCACGCAGCTTAATTTGATGAGATCATGGCTAACACCAGGTTTAAGTGCAAATGTATGTTAGCTTCTTCTTGTCGTTTTGTTTGTACACAAAAATTAAATTCAAGGCACAGCGTTGGCAGGTTTATGTACAAGGGAGTGTATATAATTAGTCGAGGTCGCAGTTATACTAAATTATTAATGTTCATATATTCTGGGTTCAAATCAGGGTTCATTTTTCTTCTCTCCTTGTTTTTTTGCTTATCTACATATTAACTGGAGGGTTCAGGAAGAGAGAACTTTATATTTCACTCGGGGATAATTTTACTATAAAAACATTAATTTTTAATTTCTTTTCCAATCAAATATATGATTTTTAATTTTTTTTATTTTGAGTACATCAATTTTTTCAAAATTGGTAATCAAGTATTTCCGTCAACTTTATCATTAATCGATAACACTTACTCTTAAAATATCAAATTATAATTTGACTTTTTTTTCAATTGAGTTCATGAGTTTAATTTTTTATATTCAAATATATCAATTTTTTCAAAATTATCAATCAAATATTTTCATTAATTTTTTTGTTAACGGATGACATGTTTGAATATGGAATTATAATTTTATCCTTTTTTTGTTGAAGGAAGCTTTTCCATCAAATTATTCTACCATTTCAAAATTTGATAAAAAATTAAAAAACATTATTTTTTTAACTATAAAATCTTGAACTAAACTTAGTTAGGTTTGTTATTAAAAAAAAAAAAAAGCATAGTTGGATTTAGAAGTGAAAATTGAAGGAAAACACAAATGAATTTTTTTGATAAAAGATCTTACTTTTGTATTGCCATCAACTTTCACACCCAAAACCTTATTGAGTTGGCTTTTTTTTTAATAGTAAGTCTAACTAATTTAGTTCAAGACTAGTCCAATACCCGTGCTATCGTGCCATTAGACAACCGTTATATATATAGGGTTAACGATTTATATGATATAATGTCGGTGAAAAGTTTTATTTTTTGTGATTAATATAAATCGAATCTATATATAGTTAATTTTTAATAAAACTATATATATATATAACGGATCGAGAGTATATAGAATAAATAGAAAAATATGCAAAAAAATACACCTAAATTGTAGAAATATATTGAAGTCAATAGATTAAAATAAAAATTATAATAAAATTAGTTTTGATAAATTTTGAATAAATATATATAAAAAAGCAAATAAAACTTATGAATTTTTTAACTCATTATTTAAAAAAAAATTAAGTCAAACTATATAAAACATACTTCTCTCTCTCTCTCTCTCTCTCTCTCTCTCTCTCTCTCTCTCTCTCTCTCTCTAGGTATGTATATATATATATATTAAAAAATAAAAAATTCATTTAAAAATATAAAAATAATTTATTGTATAAATTATAATAATATATTTAAAAAAAATTGACGTTGTAAAAGTTTATCCCAAAATTCATATATTAAAAAAATAAATTTATTAAGAAATAAAATTATATCAAAACAAATTTATTAACAAATAAAATTATATCAAAAAATTATCAGCTATTACAAATTTACAATAAAATTAAAAATTAAAAATGTTTCAAAATGGTCATTGTAACCTAAAAAATGTTTGTTAACCATGAGTCTTATATATATAAAGAAAAAAAAAAAAAAAAAAAAGGAAAGAATGCCAACCTGGACACCAAGGCTTGTATATATGAAGAAAAAAAAAAAAAAAAAAAAAAAATAGAGGTAGCAAGGCTGGGCAGCCAAGGCCTGGCGCGTGCGTGCCCAAGAGCCAAGCCTTGGCTGCTGGTCAAGCTAGCAGCAGGAAGAAAAAAAAAAAACTGAACTAAAGAAACAAAAGAACCGGAGGTACTGTTCATCACTGTAGACAGACCCCAGATTTTTTAATTTCTTTATAAATTTTATACCTAAAAAATAACTTTTTTAATTTTTTGTCAAATTTTAAAATAGTAAAATAATTTAGAGGTGCAACAAAAATAGGTAAAAAAAATAATTTGATATTTGAACACGTCATCAATTAACAAAAAAATTAACGAAAATAAAAAAATTAAAGTTCGTCTACTTAATTGACAAAAAAGAAAGAAAAAATTATAATTTAATATTATGAAGGCAACGAGCACATTATCGGTTAATAAAAAATTGACAGAAATATTTAATTAATAAATTTTTTTTAAAAAATTGATGTATATAAAAAAAATATTAAAATTTATATACTCAATTAAAAATTTTTAAAAATAAATATAGTTATAGTGCAATTATTCCATTCCACTTTTTACCTTTTCTATGTACCAACCATGGCACCTTGATAGCTATGTAGCAGAAGATGTGAAGAAAAGCAATTAAAGTGGAATGATCGCTACTCGAACAGACAATTAGCTTAAGGGTTGTGTACCTTTTATTGTGTAGCCCAATAAGTCCGTGGGCCTCCGAGGAATTAAAAAAAAAAAAAAAAAGTATGATCTCTAAGGGAGCGTAAGTAGTTTCAGGTTCTGTTTCTTATTAATAACCTATTGGCGCAATGTATAGCTGGATACATAATTTGTTAATTCCTAAAAACTCTAAAAATAAAAATAATAGTAAAGTTATTGAGAACTTTCAAGTCTAAAATTTATTAATTAATAACAAATGACGGTAAAACGTTTAAAAGTAGTTTAAATAATTTTTCATACACAATTAAAATATGAAAACAATAAATTATTCTTAAATCTAAAAATAATCAAAATCTAAACAGGAATAAGGAAAAAGATAAATGAGAAAGTTATAATTCCTAAACAGTAGCAATCTAGATCTGTTATGTTGGTCTTGATCGCAAAAGGATCCAAAAATAGACATTCGAATTGAGTTTTGATCTTGAAATTGGGTCCCCATGCAATAACTATCAACCTATACTGTGAAACTCTGAATTAACTTTCTGAATTGATATAATATGCTCTAATTGGACATTAGGATCCAAAATTATGGCCTTTAAAGGACTAGTATACATTTGTCTTTCCAAACTATATTTTTAGACTTTTGTCTGTTGATTTAGTCCACGAAATCATATGTTCCATGTCACCTTTGAGACATCAAGTTGATGAACTTCTAAGGAAAAAACAAAGAGAGGATAAATAGTTCAATTAGTCATTATATAATAGTTTGAGTTTTCAATCAATTTCTATGTTTTTGGTTATATCTATTATATCCATAAATAATATTTAAGTCTTCAATCTATTTTTTCGATTAATTTTTTCGACTATAAGCAATTTTTTTTTTATCAAAATGCTATTGATTGAAATTTTTTTAAAAAAATTTAGACTTCAAAAATAAAATATGCGAGGTCATGCGACTTTAAGTGTTTTTTTTTCTTCTTTTACATTTCAGTTAGAAGTATTTCGATAAAAAATTTGCTCATGGTCAAAAAAAATTAATATATAAAAAAAAAAACAGGTCGACGACTAAAACAATATTTAAAGGCATGATAGATAAAATTAGAAATGTAAGGATATACCAACGAGCTTGTAGTCCAATGGTAGTGGTCTCTTACAACAATAGGTCACCGATTCAAATCTTAAAAGATTAATTTTGTTAAGAGCCTTGAATGTATGAGTTAAAAAAAATATATGCACAAATTGAAGACTCATTCTATTATATAAGAACAAATTGACCTAGTATCTAGGTCAATTTGTTCTTAGTCAATTTGTTCTTATATAATAGAATGAGTCTTCAATTTATCGTTATGTTTCTAATTACATTTATTATATTTCTGAATATTATTTTAGTCTTTAGTCTCGTCTTTTCCATTAATTTTTTCGATCATGGATAAATTTTTTAATCGAAATATCCTTAACTAAAAAAAGTACTTAAAGTCATATGATCTGGATATTTTATTTTTAAAGTTTTTAAAATTTTATATTTATTTAATTTTATTCAGGGGAATTTCAATCAAAACTTTACTCATGGTAGAAAAATTGATCAAAATGACATATTACAAACTTAAATAATATTTAAGGACATAATAAATGCAATTAAAAATATCGAGATAGATTGAAGAATCAAGCTATTATATAAGGATAAGTTGATCTATTTACCCAAATTTATATTTTCGCTTTTGACCCCTATGAGTGAATATTTCTAAAACAAATAACAAAATTTATATTTTCACTTATGAACCAAATTAAGAAATTATAAATGAAAATAAGTATATTATAATGGACACTTTTGAGGTATTATAAAATTATAAATACCATCCAAATATTTAAAAATTTTAAGTAAAACTCGCTTACATTTAAAAATAATAATAATATAAATATTTTATTTTATACTCAGAATTTTTTTTATTATCATAGAAATAAATTTAAATCTATAAAATATATTTTGGTTCAAAAATATTTTCATCTTTACCTTTTTTTCAGTTTTTTGTTTTATTATTTTTACTAAAAAAATAGAAAGATTCGATTAAGACAAGAAAAAAAAGATTAACACTTTGCAATTTATACCGATGGATAAATTTAAAATAGAAATCAAATATAAAAGGATGAAGTTAATACCAAAAAAAAAAGGAGTAAAAAGACGTGATGAAAACAAAACAAAAAATAAAAGAATCATGCAACCATTAATCCTTTTCTTAAATGGTCCATCGACGAAGAAAATTGGATATAACTAGATTTTTTACTCATGCTATATTGCATATCAGACAAAATATATAAAATTATTTTTTAAAAATTATTTTATTTTAATGTCTCGTATTATATTCTGTGTCTACCAAAAACATCAAATAAAAAATGAATAAAAATTCATTCAATTTATAATTTTTTAATCAAAATTTTGTATTTAACTTGTTATACTTTATATTTTTCATAAATGTTTTATCAAAAAATTATTTACTAGTATAAAATGTCAAAACCAATAGATTCTTAGCTAAAAACTTATTTTGTAATTTTTTAAAAAAATATTTTTTTGCCTTAAAAATTTTTATTAAAAAAATCAGAAAAAAATGACCAAAGTGATCAAAATGAAACAAAAAGAGGGACCAAAACCAAATAAAAAATATTTATGAATTGAAACAATAATATTTAAAAAAGAGGGATCAAAGTGTAATGTTATGAAAAATTTCATAATAAATGTCCTTAAAATGTTTGAAAACTACAAATATACTACTCGTAGAATGAAAGAAATAATACATCCGAGTCTATGTGAATAGTAAAATGAGTATGGATGAATAGTAAATCATCATTTTACTATAGTTTTTTTGATAATTGATAATAATGGGGTGCTTGTTCCATAAGACAGAGAAAGAAGAGGACTACAAAGGAGTTCTCAAAATTATGGAATAACCCCGAACTTAAATATGTATAACCATGAATTATTATCAATAAAATTAAACTAAAACCATTATTCACTATTTGAAATACTATTCACATACTCACAAATCATTATTCACACACTCACAAATTATTATTCCTTTCACTATTCATATATTTTTGTAACACTTTGGTCCTCAATTTTTCTATATTATTTTTTCAATTTTAAACTTTAATTGTATTGTGATTTGATCTCATTTTGTTCTATTTTTTTTGTTAATTGTTTTTACTATTTCAAAATTCCTACTTTAATTTGTCATTTTTTTAAATTCTCTTTTTTTGTTCAATTTCAAACTTTAATTTGTTAATTATTTTTATTATTTAAAATTCACTACTTTAATTTGTCATTTTAATTTTTTTTTTAATTTTAAACTTTAATTATATTGTGATTTGGTCGCATTTTATTTTAGTTTTTTTAATTATTCTTATTATTTAAAATTTATTACTTTAATCTATCTTTTTTTTTTTGAAATTCCCATCCAATTAATTTAAAATCATAGTTACTAACAATTTTGATTTATTTTTCTATATGTCTAAATTTTGAAATAAATTTTTAGAAAATGATTATTTTTTCTTTTGAAAAACAGATTTAGATAATTTTAAATTATAGTGGCATGATTAATATATACAATTTGTCCGACATACATTTTTAAATTAAAAGTGAATTTCAATATTTTTTCTCAGCTTTTTTAATTTAAAATTTACTACATTAATTTTTCATTTTTTTTAAATCCTCTTTTTTTTTTTTTCAACTTCAAACTTTGATTATATTGTGATTTGGTCCCATTTTGTTTTAGTATTTTTTATCAATTATTTTTATTATTTAAAATTTACTACTTTAATTTGTCATTTTTTTGAAATTCTCATCCAATTAATTTAAAATTATATTTACTTGACAGTTTTGATTTATTTTTCTATATGTATGGATTTTGGAATAAATTTTTAGAACTTGATTTTTTTTTCTTTTGAAAAATAGATTTAGATAACTTTTAAATTATAGTAACATAATTAATATATATAATTTGTCTAAAATACATTTTTAGATTAAAAGTGTATTTCCAAATACTTTTTTTGGTTTTTTTAGAAAAAAAAACTCAAATTAATTAATTAATAGTTGAAAGTCAAATGTGAAAAATAAAAAGAAGATAGTTGCTCTGCGTGTGAGGCCTCGTATTCTAGGATTAGCCATGCATAGCATAGAAATTAAAAAAATATTTAAGGAGGAAAAAAAGAAAAAAAATTCACATATTTTATTAATTTGTTTCTTCTTTATACAATCAAAATTAATCGAAATCAAATTTATAATAATTTTTTTTAGCATATCAACTTCAAATTTAGTTAATAGATTCTTGTAACTTAACTTTATATATATATATATATATATATATATATATATATATATATATATATAATATTTTTTGTTTTAGACTAAAAACTCTGAACTAACTTAGAGTAGTTATATTGTATAAAAAAATATTGAATCATTTTGTTTTTATAGAAATTAACTCGTGCAACTACTACTACACTAAGCATTTAATACTTATTTATTTATTTTTAAATATTTTAAAATTAATTTATTTTAAATTAAATAATTAAAATTATGTTTTGGCTTAACCACTCAATGATTCAAATTAATACAGTTTTTTATTTTAATATTATTCATTCTTTTGTAAATAAATATATAAAAATTAAATTCACATTTTTTCAAAAGTCGATATTCTCATCAATATTAAATATAGTTTATCTAAAATACATTTTTAGATTACAAGTATATTTCAAATATTTTTTTCTCAATTTTTTATATTATTTAAAATTTACTACATTAATTTGTCATTTTTTTTTAAATTCTCTTCTTCTTTTTTTTCAATTTCAAACTTTGATTATATTGTGATTTTGTCCCAGTTTGTTTTAGTGTTTTTTATTAATTATTTTTATTATTTAAAATTTACTACATTAATTTTTTATTTTTTAAAAAAATTCTCATCAATTGATTTAAAATTATATTTACTGATAGTTTTGATTTATTTTTCTATATGTATGGATTTTGGAATAAATTTTTAGAACATGATTTTTTTTTTAAAGATAGATTTAGATACTTTTTAAATTATAGTGGCATGATCAATATATATAATTTGTCTTAAATACATTTTTAGATTAAAATGTTTTTTCAAATAATATTTTCTCGATTTTTTTTATTATTTAAAATTTGCTACATTAATTTGTCTTTTTTTTTAAATTCTCTCTCTTTTATTTCAATTTCTAACTTTGATTATATTGTGATTTCGTCTCATTTTGTTTTAGTTTTAGTTTTTTGTTAATTATTTTTATTATTTAAAATTTACTACTTTGTGTCTTTTTTTTTAAAAGTCTAATCCAATTAATTTAAAATTATATTTACTAACATTTTTTATTTATTTTTCTACATATATGGATTTTGGAATAAATTTTTAGAACATGATTATTTTTTCTCTTGAAAAATAGATTTAGATAATTTTTAAATTATAGTGGTATGATTAATATATATAATTTGTCTAAAATATATTTTTAGATCAAACGTGTATTTAAATAATTTTTTCTCATTTTTGTTATAGAAAAAACTCAAATTAATAAATTAATAATTGAAAGTCAAATGTAAAAAATAAAAAGAAGATAGTTGCTCTATGCGTGAGGCCTATATTCAAGGACTAGAGATGCATAACATAAAAATAAAAAAAATGTTTAAGAAGGAGGAAAAAGAAAAAGAAAAAGAATTCGCATGTTTTATTAATTTGTTTCTTCTTTATATAATCAAAATCATTTGAAATAAGATTTGTAATAATTTTTATTTTAGTCTATTAGCTTTAAATTTAGTCAATATATTCCTTGCAAGTTAACTTTTTATAGTATCTTTTGTTTTAGATCGAAAACTCTAAACTCGCTTAGTATAGTTATGATATATAAAAAAATATTGAATCGTTATTTTTTTAGAAATGAAATGTGCAACTACTACTACACCAAGCATTTACTATTTATTTATTTATTTTTGAATATTTTAAAATTAATTTATTTTAAATTAAATAATGAAAATAATATTTTGGCTTAACCACTCAATGATTCAAATTAATATAGTTTTTTATTTTAATAGTATTCATTCTTTTGTAAATAAATATATAAAAATTAAATTCATATTTTTTCAAAAACCGATATTCTCATTAACATTAAATAAAAAAAATTATTTGTTCAATTCTATGTAAGTTTTTAATAATTGTTACTTATGTTTTTTGACACAATCTTATGAAATACTAAAACTTTTTTTAAAAAATTATTTAATTTTCTTTTTAGTTAATGATCTATGGATTAATAAGGATGAAACCTCTTTCTAAATAAAAAATTATGAAAAACACAAATACAAAATTATTACATACAAAATTTTTTATTAAATAATTTTTTTCACCTTTGATTTCATATATTTTTATAGATTCATACCATAAAACAGATAATCAAATTAAAATGAATTTTCTAAATGATTTTATATTTTTTATTCAATTCATATCGTGGCATGGGCAAAAAAAAAAAAAACTAGTTATTACTATAGAACAGATGGATTCCCTTGCGAATTTGTTTTTCTTTGACTTCCTCCACAAAGAAGAAGTAATTGTAACATCACCTTCGGACTTATTTTCACTAATTTTTGAACTTCAGAGCTGACTATGACCTCATGAAATACATCTACGCATCTATGACCCCTCGACATTTGATATTTCCTTTGATGCTTAATGTGTCGTTTTCTTCTCACCAATTTCTAACCTTCCCTGCAATTCCATCCGCAAATCATCTGGTAAGCTCGGGGAACGTCTAATGAGTTCCTTCTTTGAGAAAGATGCATAATTGCATAATTACCACTGGGTTCTGATCTAATTTAGCTATACCCAATACTTCGTTTTCTTGTTATTGCATGAGCACTAGCTGATATTGTGTGTCTATTTAGGAAGAAGACTTCGCAGAGTCAATAGGTCAAGTCTTTAATTTGCTAGCCAATGGGAAACGGATCTCATTCAAAGACTAGCCACAAAATTATTGCGCTGATTCTCTTACCGATCAAACAGACGATTTCTAACATGTAAATTTCGCAGGGCCATCCCTCCACTCTCTTCTTTCTGTCCATCTTACAAGTCTTCCTGATCAAGTTTCCAAGTCAACTAAAATGTTTTGCCGCATAAAGAACTACATATATTGTGAAGAGACACCAAGACTTGGTCCTAGTAAGAGAAGTCGATCCTGCATGTTGGTGTCTCCATTCCTTTTTTTGTTTCTTAAAACTGGGAGCTCGGGGATGAATCCCATCCCGTTGCTAGTTTTTGTTGCTCTCTTTCACCCTTTGCTAGCCTTCAATAATTGCTTGCCTTTCAATTGTGGAAGTTTCGGACAGATCAGGTTCCCATTTACCAATAACACAATGCCTGAGATGTGCGGTCCCTTTGTGGTGGATGGTTGTGACGAAAAATCTCAGAGGATCCAACTAGTGAGAGGAGGAAACTGGTTTGAACTTAAAAGTATCTCTCAGGCTGATATCATTTCAATCACCGATAAAGAGTTAGAGGGACATTTGAAGCACAATTCATGTGAATCCTTCAACAATATGAGTCTTCCAACCAGTAACCTATACAGCCCTATTCGAATAATCTCCAACTTAACTTTATTCAAATGTGAACCCGGGGTCAATGTTTCTCCCCATTTTGATTTTAATTATACAGCATGCAAGAACTTCAGCATATATTATTCTTACAGCACAAGTCTACCTAGTCTTCCACCTAAATGTTCAATTCTTCAGCTCCCAGTAAAAGAAAATAACAAGAGTTACGGTGACATATTCAGATTGTTAACAGCTAGCTTCTCTCTTAATGTGTTCTTATTGCCTCGCTGTTACCAATGTCATCAGCACAAGAGGGAATGTCGATTCATCAAAGGAAACTTCAAATGTATCCATTCAATTGAAGGTATAATATGCATTGATATAGAGCAAAAATATGATGGAGAGGTACAAAAATTTATATTTATTTGCATACTACAATCCAAGATAGTCCTTAAGACATTTTATTAGACATACTTCTCTTATATCTGGTATTCCACTCAATTCCTGCCTTCTATATAATTGATTTTAGCTTGTTTGGTTTGGTTTCCAATATGTATCGTGAGAATAGCATCTAGTTGGCCACCAAAATCCCACCTATTACTGATAAGCAGGTTCTCCTTAGTCTGATTTTTTTTCCCCCGCATGTTAAATGTTAGAGAATTCGATTTGGCAAAGCATGCATAAATTCGTTGTTATAAGTTTTGCACTATTACCATATATATATATTTTTTTTTTAACTTGTATTGCAGAGAACAAAAATTTGAGGATGAAGATTGGACTAGGTAATTTACCTCTCAACGTTTCAATTTCTCTTCCGCATATGTTTTTGTTGCAGCATTCAATGAAAAACCTCCTGCCAGTAAAATAGTTTCTTCCGAGGATATATGTAAGTTAAAAGCAAAGTACTCTTCTTTTCAACTTCAGGTCTCGGAGGCCCCTCCACAATATTGATAATTTCGGTATCTGTATTTTTCATCTGGCGGTATCGATACAAGAGAAAACACGTTTCTTCAAACTTCATTTCAGCAAATGCTTCTTTGGATCCCTCCTCAAAATCAGATCCGGAAGGGGACAATGTCTACTTTGGGGTCCCTATCTTCTCCTACTCTGAACTTGAAGAAGCCACTAACAACTTCGATTCTGAAAAGGAACTTGGAGATGGGGGTTTTGGAACTGTATACCAAGGTATGTTTCTTTAACTGAAAAAGAAAGGAGCAAAGAAAGAAAGCTAGAAGGTTTATGGTCTTTCCTTTTTTTATTTATCATTCTTGACAGGCAAACTCCGAGATGGGCGGGAAGTTGCAGTGAAGCGCCTATATGAACACAATTGTAAGAGGATGAAGCAGTTCATGAATGAAATTCAAATCCTTACTCGCTTGCGGCACAAAAATCTTGTGTCCCTTTATGGGTGTACTTCACGCTGCAGCCGCGAGCTCCTCCTTGTCTATGAATACGTTCCCAATGGCACAGTTGCTGATCATCTCTATCATGATCGAGCCAAATCTGGTCCACTAACTTGGCCTATTCGAATGAAGATTGCCATAGAAATGGCCAGCGCATTGGCTTATCTGCACGCTACTGATATCATTCATCGGGATGTAAAAACGAACAATATCCTTCTTGATAACAATTTCTGTGTGAAAGTTGCAGATTTTGGGCTTTCCCGGTTGTTCCCCAATGATGTCACTCACATCTCAACTGTTCCACAAGGAACACCTGGCTATCTTGACCCAGAATACCATCAGTGTTACCAGCTGACAGCTAAGAGTGATGTCTATAGCTTTGGTGTTGTCCTCATTGAGCTCATTTCATCAATGCCTGCTGTGGATATAACTAGGCATCCGCATGAGATTAATTTGGCCACATTAGCAATGAACAGGATTCAAAAATGTGCGTTCGATGAGTTGATTGACCCATATCTTGGATATAAGTTAGATGAGGAAATTAAAAGAATGACCACTTCAGTTGCAGAGTTGGCTTTTCTATGCTTGCGGCAAGAGAAGGAAAACAGACCTTCTATGATCGAGGTGCTAGAGGAACTAAAGACAATTGAGAGCGGGGGGTATGAATTGGAGAATCTGCAGGAGAAGCATGGTGATAATGATCCAACAAAGAACATGGAGCCTCCGGATTGTGATGTGGCTGCATCATTGCTAAAGAATATCCAGCCACCACCGTCATTGAATTCCACAACTGATAAGTGGATTAGCAGTGGTTCTACTACACCTACTGTCAGCAGTTAATATCTCTACTTTGTGCTGCTTTACTAGTATATTTTCAACAAATCCTTAAATATGAGCTTCAACATGAAACATCTAATCCATGTCCAAACTGCAATAGGTAGATTGATGACTAGAAAATTTCGTACTTTTTCTTTAATTCACACCTCAAAAAATATCCTGAATATAATTTGTGCATCCCATGGCTCCTCCACAACTCCAAATGCTTCTAGAACTATGAATGGTTATATTTTACTAGCAAATTAAATCCATGTTATTCGAACAAAACTCTCCACTAAATGCTCCTACTCTACAACAGATTCACCCAATAGTTGGGTCGATAGGTAACGGAAGAGGAGCTAGAAATGCTTTGCCATGACGTGTTTTGATGTATAAGGGTAAAGCATATACCTCCAACACAATTAGGATTTTTCTTTTTTTTGCTAAGCTAAAAAAAAAGCTACCTATAGATGAGATATCTGGCAACCACTATTCCTAACTAACTTGTAACCTTCACTGCACCAAAAAAGAAGATTTGCGAGGAGAATTTAGCGACGGTCTAATAACTCGTCTCTAAATAATGAAATTTGCAACGGTTTGAAAGAATTTTACGAGGGAAAAAAAATAATTTTAGAAATCGTTGTTTGCGACGGACTACGTTAACCGTCGCTAACAATTAAATGTAACCAAATTTACGAAGGTTGTTTTAGCCAAAATCATCGCAAAAATTCAAATTTAGTGACGGATCGAAGACCGTCACTAATCCTATCGGGAAAATCCTCCCGTTGGGAGGAAAACGACTATTTTTAGCCTTTTGTGATGGATTTAGCGATGAAGTCCGTCATTAAATGGAAACCCCTTTTTAACCCATTGTCCGCATTTCTTCCCCCATTTTGCTCTTCTTCCTCTCTTTTTCTCTTACACTTTCCAGCGCCGATTTGCCCCTTTTTTCCTTCATTTTGCTTCCAATCTACTCCTCTCTCTCGTCCTTCTCTTTCTCCCCCTTTTTTCCTTCATTTTTTCTCTCTTTCTTCTCCCTTCTTCAACCTTTGGGATTCCGGCCAACCCACCTCCGCGAAGCTCCTCCACCGGCGTAGCCTCCTATCCTCCTTGTGTGGGTGAAAGGTCCTCCCTCATCTAATCCCTCAATTAATTTTTTAATTTTTTGCATTTTTTTTCATAATTAGATGTTAAATTATTTTGTTAATTTAATTGTTAGCATTAATTATGTTATTGGTTAGTGTTAATTGTGTTATTGGTTAGTATTAATAATTGTTAATTGTGTTATTGGTTAATTGTTATTGTTAATTTAATGTTAATTGTTTAATTGTTATTGTTAATTTAGTGTTAATTGTTAATTTAGTGTTAATGGTTAATTGTGTTATTGTTATTGCTAATTATTAATTTAGTTAATTTATTTGTAATTGTTAATTTAGTTAGTTTAAGTGTTAAATAAATGTAATTGTTATGAATTTGTGTTAATTGTGTTAGTTTAATTGTTAAATAAAAATTTGATTGTTGTTGTTATTAGTTTCATTGTTAATTTATAAGCTTAATTGGTAGATTTTAATTGTTAATTAAGTAAGTTTATTGTTAAATATTATTAATTATTAATTTAGTTAGTTTAATTTATGGTTTTTTGTAATATTAATTAATTTTAAAAATTGATAATCATTTTATAAAAAAATTTAGCAATTACAAAATTATTATTTTTCTAAATAATATTTGGTAATTGGAAAATTAATTAGTAATTAAGTTTGTTTAATTAGTTGTTGATTAAGTGAAGGAGTAAAGTAATTACAAAATTAAGTAGTTATTACAAATTTTAATTATTTGTAAATTATAATTAGTTATATAAAATATAATTAGTGATTAAGTTTATTTGTTTGTTGATTAGATTAAAAAAGGAATTAAACTATTACATAATTAATTAGTGATTAAAAAAATAAATATTTTTCAAAATCTAATTTAGTTTTAAAAAAATTAATTAGTAATTAGGTTTAATTGGTTAATTTAGTTAATAATTAAGTAAATCACTTGGTAATTAATTTAGTTAATAAGTCAATAATATATTTCAATAAATTAATTGTTCATTAAGTGAAGCACTTAAGTAATTACAAACTTAAGTAGTTATAACAAAGTTTAATTGTTTGTAAAATATATTTAGTTATAAAAAATTTAATTAGTTATTAAGTTTATTTATTTGTTGATTAGATTAAAAAAAGGAATTAAATTGTTACATAATTAATTAGTGATTAAAAAATAAATATTTTTTGAAATCTAATTTAGTTTTTAAAAAATGAATTAGTAATTAAGTTTAATTGGTTAATTAATTAATAATTAAGTAAGTCACTTGGTAATTAATTTAGTTAATAAGTCAATAATATATTTCAATAAATTAGTTGTTCATTAAGTGAAGCACTTAAGTAATTTCAAACTTAAGTAGTTATAACAAATTTTAATTATTTGTAAATTATATTTAGTTATATAAAATATAATTAGTGATTAAGTTTATTTATTTGTTGATTAGATTAAAAAAAGAAATTAAATTGTTACATAATTAATTAGTGATTAAAAAAATAAATATTTTTCGAAATCTAATTTAGTTTTAAAAAAATTAATTAGTAATTAAGTTTAATTGGTTAATTTAGTTAATAATTAAGTAATTAAATCACTTGGTGATTAATTTAGTTAATAAGTCAATAATATATTTCAATAAATTAGTTGTTCATTAATTAGTAATTGATTGATTAATAAATAGTACGTTAATTTAGTAATTAAGCTATTAAAAATATTTATAATTTTTATTAATTACATAATTAATTAGTAATTACAAAATTAATTTAGTTTAAAATGAATTCGGATCGTTCATTGATTGACTTTAGATTAACTAATGGACTATTAAATGAGTGTTTCGTTCATGGGATTAATGAATTTATTAATTTTGCCACTAGTAATCCGGAATGTATGGATGGAAATAAGATACGATGTCTTTGTAAATTTACATAATGTCAAAATCATAGTTATCTTAAACCTAATACTCGTTAAGTATCATTTGATGCAATATGGTTTTGTGTCCGGATATTATGTGTGGAGACGTCATAAAGAGAATGATTCGAGTCATTTATGATGATAATTCGATTAATTATGTTCAACAAGAACAAATATTTGATGATCCTCAAGTCAATCAATACCACACAATGGTGATGGATGTAGCTGGTCCATCATTTAATCCGTCTAACACGGACGAAGACCCAAACCCTAATGCCTAAGCGTTTTACGAATTGTTAAATGCATCGAATAGAGAAATATGGTTCGATTCAAAAAATCATTCACGATTATCTGCAACGTCTCGTTTGTTACATCTCAATTCCAAGCATCATTTCTCGGAGATGTGTTACGATGACTTATGTCAACTTATGAAAGAGTTGATGCTCGTCGATAATCGCACGCTAGAAGACTTTTACAATACAAAAAAATGATGGAAATGATGGCTTTGTCCGTTGAAAAGATCCATAGTTGCATAAACGATTGCATGATTTTTCGAGGTGACGATAGCGAAAAAATCATTTGTGAAATATGTGAGCATCCTTTATATCGAAAGCCTAAGCGAGGATCGATTAGAGAAACATATGTCCTGTACAAAAAATATATTATTTTCCCCTAACGCCACGATTGCGGAGGATGTATGCATCGACCGCCACTACTCGGTGACATGACGTGGCATGCACAACATATAGTTGAGCCGGACGTCATGCGTCATTGTTTAAACTCCTATACATGATGGTAGTTTGACCAAATACATCTTTCATTTGCATCGAAATTAGAAATATCGGATTAGGTGTTTGCACTCGATGAGTTTCGACCTTTTGGTCAAACTGGACAATAATATTCTTCGTGGCCCGTAATTGTAACGCCTTACAATTTGCCATCGTGAAAATGTATGAAAGAAGAATATATGTTTTTAATCGTAATTGTCCCGAGTCCTAAAAATCCTAAAGTCAATCTAGACGTATACTTACAAGCCCTAATTAAAGAGTTGGTTGAATTGTGAAAAGTAGATGCTCTTACTTATAATGTGTCCCGTAAGGAGAATTTTCATATGAGAGCTGCAGTCATGTAGACAATTAGCGATTTCCCCGCATACTCAATGTTATCGGGTTGGAGTACTGCGGGTAAGACAACATATCCATATTATATAGAAAATTCGATGTTTTCATACTCGTAACAACGAGAAAGACATCATGGTTTGATTGTCATCGAAAATTTCTACCACAAAGCATCCTTTTAGGCAAAACGAGGAACGCATTCAAGCAAAATTCTGTTGTTACGGACATTGCTCCTCCGATCAAGTTTGGAACGGATGTTTTACAAGAATTACACCATTGAGTCATGAACCCGATCCATAGTTCCAATATATAGTAATTTTTTTAGTGATTTCAATATAATTAATTAAAATTTTGAGTATATTTTACACATTTACGTACACTTATTTCGAGTGTGAGTTATTAGGTCGTGAAACTAATCCATACGAGGTTTTAAAAGGACCCATCGGAAAAAGATTGATGATCAATACGTATTCGTCAATCAACGATCAAGAATTATCGAAGTAAGCTTTGAGTTTTTTACATCATATCAAACATATTAATTTTTAACATTATTTAACATATATAATCGTTTAATATTTTGTATTTCATAATTATGCAGGAGACCGTAGAAAGAATGATTGATAAGGAGGTTGCTAGCCGGCAAACCGTGAGGAGTTCATCATCGAACATCAACATTAATGACATATTTAAGATCGTCGTTGGTGGAGGAGATAGTAAGAGGAAGATGATGTACGGACTCGGGTCACACGCATCGCACTACTACTCCGACATTAGTACATCCTTTAGTTTGATAACTTCGCGTCGCAATGCTCGTGATGAGGCACAGAAAAGAAGGTAGAGGATCAATATAGTCGGCTAGAGTCTACTCGTCACATCGTTGGTGGAGATAACTAAAAGATTGAAGGAGTACGATCG